GTTGCGTTCCGATATTTACTAGTAATACCAAAAATCTATACTAAAAATCTATACTTCACGTCACATGTGATATAGATTTCCAGTACTGGCAGTGAATATCGGGACGCAGCTGTGTAAAATAAAACTTATAATATGCAAAAGATATCCTGCTATATCCCTTGGCTTTGCATGAGATATCTCACAATATCCTATCGTAATATCCCGGAAATTACTTATTGAGATATCTCTGGGATTGCGTTTGAAAATCCGGATAATTTTGGCATATCCTTAGGATAAAGTGTGCTGTGTGGGAATACACATAAAAAACAATCACATGGCCTTAATTTAATCACAGACACTGATTTACTTGACAAATCCTATTTTAATCTACTAGACAACTTGATGGCATTCAAATTTTAATCTTTAACGTATTTATTTATTTTCTTGACTTTAACTGTAGTGGGGTGATAGATGTTTGTGTATATATATTCGGCTGTCTTTTCGTTGTTTCCAGCGTTCGTTTTGTGACTTCAGTTTGTAAGTATGTCTGCCTCTTTCGTGCGTGATATTATTAAGTGATAACATTTTCGGAATTAATTGCAGTGTTGGCGGTACACGGTTGGAATATGTCATCTAGTTTAACTGTTTTAAGAATGACTGTATGTACAATAACTACGCCTCCAATTGGTAACATGTAAGATCGACTTTATTACTGAAGAAGACTCAAGTAGAGTCGAAACGTTTGTTAAAATGTTTGATATATTGAGATAATATTAATAAAGATCAACTTCTGAATTTTGCTCGTTAATTTGGCCTGTTACTCTAATTTTATTATTGTGATTTATTTATTTATATAAAACTAATTTTTACTATATTTTTATACAATTTTTGATATATAATCATATATACTTATACACAAATTAAAATAATTATATCTAATTATGAAAATTTATATACCAAATATGTCCATACAATTTTATACATAAAAAATTTTTTACCGGGTATGAGTGTTTAGAAAGAAAATTATATCCTTTACTGAGTAAAACAAGTTATTCGGGCAGATCCGCCATTCCTGTTCGTAAGCAGTTGTTATCAACACTGTGGCTTTTTGCTACTCCTGATTCGTACATAATAATTAAATATGCTCTATAAGTGTAGACTGTTCTATTTTTTAATTTTATTTATTTTTATTTGTTTTTTACTTATTTTTGTTGTCAATAATACTATGGTATATATTGTAGGTCTGTGGGTGAGCGATTCGACATGGGAAAATCATCTGCAAGTGATTCTTTTATAAAAGTTGTTGAAGCCCTCAACAATATTGCCAGAGACGTCATCGTCTGGCCCCGAGAAGACCGATGTATTGCTGTTCGTGAAAAATTTCAGCGTATTGGCAGGTTACCACATGTAATAGGAGCTATAGATAGGACAAAAATACCAATCAAAGCTTCTAAAGCAAGTATTTATATCACAGAAAAATAGGAACAAAGTTGTAATATTAAAAATATTACTAACAATTTTAATATTACAACTCTGTTTTCTATTTTTAATAAATATTTTTTGAAATAATTAATATTAATACTTTTCGGAGTAATATTCCTAACTAATGTAGTACATTATTTCTAGGTAGACGCACGCTTCTACATAAGTAAAGACAAAGAATATGCAATAACATTGCAAGCAGTATGTGATGCAGAACTTCGATTCTTAGATTGCTTTGCTGGATTTGCTGGATCAGTGGCAGATCGGCGAGTCTTTTGAAATTCAGACCTATGGAAGGAAGTCAATGCAAATAAAGCATCTTATTTTGTGGATCAGGATTACATTATTGGAAACAAAGCTTATTCATGTTTGACATGGTTAATACCACCATTCATTAATTTTGGGCAACTCACACAGGTACGATATTCAAATTAAAAGAGTATACAGCATATGCTTTATAATAGCTGAAAACTTATCTTCACTTATTTCTGTTGTATAGACTCAGAAAAAATTTAATACAATACTTGCCAGTATGAAACGAGTTATCGAAAGAGCATTTGCGCTGCTGAAAGGTAGATGGAGACGACTAAAATTCTTGGATATGAATCGTGATGACATGATTCCTTTTGTTATATTAGCAAGCTGTATATTACACAATATTTGTCTTGATAATGGACTAGAAGATTATGAAGACTTTATTATCGAAGGGCATGATGATGATAATGATGATGATAATCATTTTGTTAGGGAACCAGTAAATTTACAAGACGACCCTGAGGGTATACTAAAACGACAATATCTCACTACTTTAATTCCCTGAATTAATATGATATATTAATATATTGTTATAATATATTAATTTAAGACATTTAAACTAAGATTCTATAGCCTAGAGCTATGATTTTATGTGTTTAGAATCAGTCATCATCAAATTATTGTCAGAGTAATTTTTATAATTTTGTAACGTGGTACATATATTAGTATATATAGTGTAAAAAGTAGTAATAGTATGTATTATGTAATGTAGTAGTTTGTAAATAATATGATAAAAAATAGTCATTTATTATTGAAAAAATAAATCATTTATTAATTTTACTTGTATTTTATAATCTTACTCTTTAATGAACGAATGTGCAACTAGAATGAAATTGTATGGAAGAGAATGATATGATAGAGAAAGATGAAAAGGTTTTATTGTATTCGTTTTCTTATAATATAAAATGCTATCGGCAATACATGTGCATCTGTAATACTAGCTCACAACCATTACAAAATTATAATATTGCAAACAAACTAAAATCTAGTATATAGCTTCATTTTACCACAAGTTGCAACAAAATATTAAAGATAATAAAATCCATTTTTAATCTCAATAATACGAACAAAAATAATGTACCATAGATTTCAAGTAGTAACACAAAATAAAAATAATCTTTAGTGTATAATATAAATAAAATACTGATCTTTAAAAAATAATAAACTTTGCGCATAAAGTTTGTGAAATGAAAACACTGAACATTCTAAAATTAAAACAGGTACACTGCTTTTGTGTTATATTTTTAAGTTAGTAGGAAAATTTTATTATTCATTGACAGTACAGTATAAATTTATAGTTTAGTTTAGTTATTTTTAGTTTATTTTTAGTTTAATTTATAGTTTTTTTTTATTTATAGATTTTTTTATTTATAGTTTTTTTTTACTAGTACTGTCAATGAATAATGAAATTTTCCTACTAACTTAAAAATATAACAAAAGCAGTGCATTCTGCAATATTAGTACAGAGTATAACTAAAAATTAAACATACATAATAAAACTGTGCAGCTTACAAATACTTAAAATTTTTCAAGCAGTTTTGTCATAAAATGTTCATAGGTTTCTCGGGCTCTATTTTGACATGCCAATAACTCCCCAGATAGCCAAATGTGAAAACTCAATATAAAGCAAATCATTGTATAGATTAAGTTGCTCGCCAATTGCTGTTGTGTTGTTTTTATTTAATGCAACGAAAATGTTTTTGTCAATTCAGTATCAATATGCTGAGTTTTATTATCAATTAATTGTTGTAGCCAATGTTTATGACAAGTGAGTCAGCAATATGTGAGCAATATATGAGCAATAATTGTTATTCATAAGTTGAGAAAAATAATAGAAGTTTTTTGCCGATGAGTTGTTGGGAACTTGCTGTTATTATATCTTGTAAACTGTTGCTGGCAAGAACATACCGAAAAGAGGATACACCCTTTTGTTACATTGCTGAAAACACATGAGCAATATTTGTGGCAAGTTGCCAACAACTTGCACTCAGTTGGCTATTTGGGTCCTAATGTCTTTGTTCTTTCATTTCATCACGTTTTCTGTTTTCTTCACTTATGGTTTTTGTCCACAATTCCAATTCACGTTCCATACGCGTTCTTTTGGTTTCTTTGATTTGCTTTCACTATCTGTTACATCATCAATGTCGCTGATTGTATTATCAGCGTTAGAAGATACACTGCTTAGTGATGTTGCTGAATGAGATCTTTTCTTCAAATTTGAAGCCAGAGCAACAGATTTTAGGCAAGGTTTTTCTCCCAGCACTTCATCCAATTCTTCAAAATATTTACAGATTTTTGGTTCTACTCTCGTTTGGTTGTTATGGTCTTTTATACGCTTGTATGTTTTAGTAATGTCTTTAAATTTATTTTCACAATTCTTAGCAGTATATTGCCATGCATTGTTGACTTTTTTTAATTTTTCGCTTATTTTTGTCCATACAACATTATTTCTAATAACACTACTTTCAAACAAATGTTGATGTTGCTTCCACTGATAAATGAATGTCTTTACAGCATTCTCGTCTTTCCAAAACGCAGTAGCTTTTTTTTCATCACATGTCTGAATCGAAACTACATTTGTATCATCCTCACAAGCTGATTTTTCAAGCTCAACACCAAAATACTGCTAAATGTGCGGGATATCTTCCACTTCGACCGTAGTATTTTCTGCAGAAACAATTTAAAAGATATGTTAGTAAAATACTATATTCTAAACAACCGTACTATAATATGCATGTGATTAGGATACACACTTTTTGCAAATTTTGAAGAAAACTGCAAATAAATACTTACCCACTTTATCCAACAAAAGCAGACATCCATTCTCTGTAATTGCTATCTTATTCTGATCTTTAATAATCACATATCTCGCTAAGTCAATTTCGATGTCAGACGACATTTTACTTCCCGCCAAACAGTGTTGCCAACTCGTTGCGAGCGTTTCCTACGCGACCATGCTCGAAATTCTACTAAATCCTACTAAACACTCAAGCTCAGACTTGAGATAATAATAAATAAATAAGTAGAGTGTGAAAATAAGTGTACATATTAAACAAAGCCATAAAATGTTATTATAATTATTGACTATTTTATAATACAATATTTTATTTATTTATTTGTATCTATTATTTTTATACATGTTAAGATCATCAATAAAATGATATTAAACAATGTAATGTAAAATTACATACTTCTTTTCCAAAACAAACAATCTCTATAAAATCTCGAAACTTATTAACATATATTGCACTATCATGTATCTAAAAACTAATTTATATATGAATTTTTTTTTATTTTAGTAGTGTTACTTCGTAATATTACTTATGTAATTGACAAGCAAGAAATAAAATAAACAAGAAATGAATGCATATGTAAAGACAAAGAATATAAAATATAAATTAGCAAAAAGTTAGGATCCTGCCGCAACATCACATTAAATAGGAGACTTCTTAATCTATAAGTAAACAATCTAAATTGTCCGAATCATTTGAATCCGAATGTTCATTTGGATCCAAATTTTATTTCAATGGAACCTTTAAAACATTAGTTTGATTTTTATATACTGCTACAGTACCTATTTGCCGAAGAACTGAAGTTGGAAATTCATAATTAAAACAGCATTTGCCTGTTCTTTGCAATCCCGCTCGCGTAGTAAGAATAGCATTAATTGTATTCTGATGGAGACGATTGCGGAAAGTAGTTTTGACAATCTTCATTTGACTAAATGCTCTTTCTACATTAGCATTTGACCATGGGAGCACAATACATTTTAGTGCTAAATTGACAATGTCTTTAAAAGGATTGTTACCTGAAGCATCTTGATATTCTTGTACTTCTGCCCAAAAAACAATGGTATTATTAATGTTTTGCCATTGAACAAAGGACAACTTTGACCACTGATAATCTATTTTTGTTATAATGTTTTCTGTTTCATACATGAGTTTTGCGAGAGGAATTATAGATGGTTTT